AGCATGTCTCTAGGACTCATCACTGCTTTTTCCACTGTATGGAGACACCACATTTGTATGATCTCTTCAGCTGTTCATGGGTACTTTGGTTGTTGCCAGGTCTTTGCTATTTGAATAATGCTGTAATAAATACAGGTGTGCCTGTGTCTGTCTGTCTCACTGCTTTCAGTTCTGTAAGTAGATGTCTAGGCATGGGATTGCCAGCACACAGGGCAGTTCTACCTCTAGGTTTCTGAGGAAGTACCATACCACTTTCCATGGTGGTTACACCATTTACAGTTCTATCAACAATGAGTAAGCATTCCATTTTCCCTACATCCTCACCAGTGTTTTTCATCTGTTTGTTTTTAAAAAGCAGTGTCATTTTAGCTGGGAAGAGCTACAATGTCACAGTAGTTTTGTCTCTTTACTGGTTAGTGATTGTGAGCATTTCTCACGTGTTTGCGGGCTGCGTGTGTGTGTGTGTGTGTGTGTGTGTGTGTCTTCTTCGGGGAAGGTTCTGTTCATAGCCCTTGCTCATTTTATAAATGGGTTGTCTTTTTGTTTTTGAGTTGAAGTTTTCTACAAATTTCAAAGATTAGACCCTTATTGGAGATATTGTTTTTCAAGTCAGTAGGTTGTCTTTTGATGAATACAAGTTTTTAATTTTTATGAGGGCTCATTCATTTACTTTGTCTTCTGCTCTCATGCATTTGTTGTTAGCTTGTTATTCTATTTTGACAAATGATTAGGTTCCATATCTTCTTCCAGGAACTTTATCATTATTATTTTAGGGCTGGGTCTTTAACTCATTTTCCGTTAGTTTTGGAGAATGCTGTGAGGTAGGGTCCTCTTTCATTTTTCTGCAAGTGGCTATGCAGTTTTGCCAGCAACACTCAATCGACTGCTTCTGCTTCATGGAGTAGACATTGGCCTCTTGCTGAAAATCAACTGTCCCTAGAGGGGTGGATTTACTTCTAAGACAGTGGTTCTCAACCTTCCTAATGCTGTGACCCTTTCATACAGTTCCTCATGTTGTAGTGATCCGCCAGCCATAAAATTATTTTTGTTGTTACTTCATCACTGTCATTTTGCTACTGTTATGAATCGGGCAACCCCTGTGAAAGAGTCATTTGACATCCACCCCTACCTGCCACCCAAAGGGGTCGCAACCCACAGGTTGAGAACCGCTGTTCTAGGTTCTCAATTGCATTCCACTGGGTTATGTGTCTACCCCTGAAGCAACTCCAGCCTGTTCTGATGATGGTAGCTGCAGTACAGTATACTTTGGAATAAGAAATTCTCAGGCTACTTGCTTTATTCTTCTTCCGCAATGCTTTGGCTGGGTCAGGATTTCTTTCCTTTCCATTTAAAGTTAGTCATTTGTTTTTCCATTTAGGGAAAGATGTTGTTTTGTATCCAATTTGTATTGGGACTGCATTGTATCTGGGTATTGCTTTAGGCAGAATTGATATTTTTATTATATCGTCTTTATAAAATACATTCTATATATGCATATATTAGTTGACAACCATCCTAAGATATAAATACTATTATGATCCCTCCTTACAAACGAGGGAAAAGTTCATCAGCAACTTGCTTCAGGTCAGAAAGCCAGGAAATGGCTGAGCTGGGATTCAAACATTGGCTTTCGAGCCACGCAGTATCCTTCCCATCTGAACTTTGTGACCAAATAGATATTTACAACTATACGCACGTGATAATAGCAAAGTGACGTTCAGAAAGGAATTTATATCTGATTGGCGCCCTCTGTTGAAATAAGACTTGTTTCTTGACAACTGTTATTAATCTAAAAATCGGAAAAAAAAACTACGCATTTCAACGAATCACTTCATAGCACAGCATTTCATGAGGCCCTGTTATGTGTTTAAGGAGTCCTGGTGGTGTAGTCATTATTGGGCTGCTAACTGCAAGGTTAGCAGTTCAAAACCACCAGCTGCTCTGTGGGAGAAAGGCCTTTTCTACTCCCACAAAGAGCTACACTCTTGGAAACTCATAGGATTATACCTACCCTGTTGTACGAGTCAGCATCGACCCCATGGCAGTGACGCTGCTTTATTTGGTTTTCTAGGTGCTCAGCTGGGGGCCAAAAAATCTACGACAGAGTCTATTCTCCATGGAGCATACAACAGAAAGCTGTAACAGCACGCATTTTTCTTAAAACAAACAACCAAACAAAACAAACCCATAGAATTCCAGACATCCAAGAACGTGATCACTGAATTTGGTGATCCACTTATCTATTGCTCAAACTGCCTTTGGAAACAATTTCTGAGACACACAATAGATGTCAATACTGAAAGCTCACCGTTGAGTTTTAACCTAAATAGTCAATTAAAATAACCATTTGAATTGACATGTGGTCAGTTCTGAAAATATAATGGATCCTCAAAGGAAGGAAACATGGGACCACAAGTTGCAATACACACATACATATATTTAGCTAGCTAGAAACACATACATACAAGGCACACATCTTGTGGCTTCTTAGGGCAAATCCCAAAGGAATGAATGAAATCAGCGCTTGCTCAGTTGGGATACAATATACTTAAAAATATTCCTAGCAAGCACATTTTAAAAAGTAAAAACACACAGTTAAAATTAATTTCAATACATTGCATTTAACTCAACGTAACTAAGATATTATTCCAACATTTAACAAACAAACGCCTCGCTGCCAGTCATTTGGTTCCGAAGCACAGAGATATCCTGCAAGACGGAGGGGAGACGTCTCTCAGGGTCCCCAAGGCTGTCAATCTTTATGGCAACAGATGCCACGCCTGCCTCCTACTGAGCAGCTGGTGGCTTTGAACCACTGACTTTTCACCAGTACACCACCAGCTCCCTCGCTTTTTCTAATCTAGAATCTCTAAAAATCATGGTGGATAAATTTTACTTTTTTCCCTTACTAAGTAAGTTTTCAAGATTCAGTGTGTATTCTGCGATTACCTGTACTTAGAAACACTGTGATGGAACTGTTTCTGACTCATCGGGACCCTAGTCGGGTTTTCGAGGCTTTGTAAATCTTCATGGGAGCAGACAGCCTCATCACTTTCCCTCGGAGTGGCTGGTGGGCTTGAACCACTGACCTTGCGGTTAGTATTCCAATGATTATCTGACAGCACCACCATAGCATATTTCAATTAGGATCAACCTCAGATCAAGAGCTTAAGAGCCACATGTGGCTGGTGACTGCCCTACTGGACACGGAGGACAGACATTTAGAGCTATGGCTGTCAGACTAGTATAATATACTAATATCGTATACAGAAGAGTCAAAAAAGACCTCATGGCCTTCAATCAATCTGATATATTTACATGGATGAAAGGGAATAATAACAGCTAGCTTGTGATAACATTCAAGTGAAGTAAAAGCTCAAAATAACATGACAGTTTGGAGGAGGCCAGAATCAGCCTGATGGAAGAGTCCGTGAATAGAGGATGGGTAGCTGGACTAGAGACGGGTGTCTGACAGTATGTGGGAGTGAATTCACTCTGCCAGCCTTGGCATCATGGTGCTAATAAATGAAGAACAAATAGCTCTGACCAGATAAATTAATGACTGTAACCAACCATCCCCGCTGACAGGATCCCAATGAATGGATTTGTAGGTAGCGAGCAACTCTTTTATCTTTCGATACCTAAGCAGAGAATTCTAAAGCTTGATGGACTTTAAAACTGAAAGAAACGGTGGGAACCTAAAATAACTTACCTTGTAACAGTTGGCTCATAATCTATAATTCCTGGATCCCAACGAGCTGGAGTGTAAAATCCGGTGAGCACAACTCGGGGGGGCGGGGGCCTTCTATAGTAAAGGTTCAACCGTGGACATGTTTAAGAGCGAAGCGGGGGCATTCTCAATAACTGCTCTTGGGCAGCAGGGACGAGCAGGTCTGTGTGGTAGAACCATCGAGCAGATACAGCAGCGTCTCTCGTGCGGAGACATGGGGCTGCTGAAAGCCCAGGCATGTCCCCATTGCCCCTGCATGGCCACAGGGGCTGGGAGGACTAACATGCATCGATCTGGGCGAGGCAGCTCTGCCAAACCCCCAAGCATTTTAAATTGGTTTGAATTGGGGAACAGGGTTCCAGATGGACAGAGCTGGACTTTGACAGCCTGAATGTGTTGACTGAAGACAGCAAATCGCTGACAGACTAAATTGAACAGAGGAAAGGCCTGGCCTGCTTGTACTCAGGATGTGACTTTGCAATCGTAGCCTCCTTGAGACAGGCCTAATCACTTAGAAGAGGCGGATTTTAACCAGTTGCAAGCTCATTACTGTGCATTCCAGTTTGTGTTGATGAAAACCCGTTTCGGCCTGTGGCCTGGAACTCAAGTACAGCCCTTCCCGTGTCCTCTTAAGGCAAACACATCAGATTCTTTGCTTTGCTTTTTGTTTTTAAATTTGACGTTGCCCTTCTCACTTTTATTTTAAGAAAACCACTGGGTGAATTGGAATTACGATTCACACAGAACTGTGTGTGGGGGGTCTGTGGGCCATACCCAGAAACAAGCAAAACTACAAACATGAACGAGGTCAGAGCCCACGCAGAAATCCATGAGACATGTACTGGCATGGGGGGAGGTCTGCGGCTGTCTCCGAAAGGCAGGCTCCGCCATTAAATGAACCCAGCTCAGTTATCCAGACAGAAGGGGACTGAAGGAGCTCTCCGAGTGACGGCAATAACCGAATGAATGCAAGAGTACCAAGGTCTTAAGAGACATAGCATGGCTGTGGCATCCCCGCTCCTCCGTGAGTGATTACGCAGAAACCAGCGCACCCGTTTCCAACCCAGCAAGTACGAACTTCAAGGACAGCTTTCCTTGAGAAGTTTCTATGAGGTCTCCCTCCCAACATTCTGTTTAATGGGGACATTTAACCAGTATCAAAAGTAGGAGGTGGGGTGGTGGTGGTAGGAGTGTGTTAGTCGCTCAAAACTCCACCTTCATTTCAAAGCCCTGTAAGCATTCCAAAGAGTGACATGACTGTGAATCCTACCTGGCTGGTGGCCCTTTGCAGGTCTGTCAAGGCAGCAAGTCAACAGGAAGACAGTATCAATACACACAGCTCTGGTCACTAAACATGGGTTTTGCCTGGGAAGGTAAAGAACAAAGAGTAAGTTGTTTTACTCTCCCCTGAGGGCCAGGCCATATGGGAAGGACGAAATGGACATTTTCTACCAGGCATGTTATGGGGCTAAGCGAGTTATCGCAAGTGTTTAAAAACAAAACAAAACTATGAACCATTATCAATGGTGAGAAAGTCAGCAACTCAAAATCCAAGGGCATACGATGGCGTTCTAGGCTCTCTCTGCATGATCAACAGCGATAAAAGTCTCTGCTCTGGCTCCAAGCGAAATAAACGGAAAACAGACAGACACACAAAAACTAACATCCTATCCCAGTTATTTTGAAAACACGTTGGCAGAACCATATTCTCTTACTCCCTTCTGAGGAAAACATGCGGACAAAAGATCGTTGGGTCATGGAAACTTAGCACTCTGGACAAGGAGAATTACACTCACTTATGACAAACTGTATCCATGAATTTAAATTAAGGAGTGGACAGGCAGTAACAAGTATGGGAACTGATTGATTGATTGATTGTCTTTCCCCAGTGAATGGATGTGTTTCCTCGTTCAGCATCTGGGGAAAGCTTTATTTCACTCTTGGAACCAGACAGTGGCAAAAAGAAAGTGGGCAGCATTTGGGGGTGCCTAGAGAGAAAAGGAATAACGAGAAATGTCTTTGGAGAACAGAGCTGAAGGTCTTTAGCCCTGGGCCTCAGTTCCCAGGGACTGTGACCATAAAGACGGTGGGTAGCGTTCAGTGTTAGTGTATGTAATGTCTTCATACTTACTTGAGCAGAAATGGTACTTCCGTATTAAACATAGATTAATTCAATGACAATAATAAAAAGGCAGTAGGATAGACCTAGGCTTGAACCCCACCATTGGGACTCATCTGTAGGACCTGAAACCAGCCTCTTGGCCTGCAAAATGGGAACAGTCTCACGTCCCTGGCAGGTGTTGTGCGTGTTCGGTGTGAGACAGCAAACACAACGTTGCCTCGGTGCCTGGCCCTTGCTGGATGCTGAGCTTTAATTTCCACCTGTCCCGGCCTGCCTCCAGTCTAGGTTAGGGGACAGCGTGAAACTGGCACACAGGTTGTGGTGCGTGGGTTTTTCAGTTCTCTTTACCCCTAAACCCTTCTTCTGGTTCCCTACGAATGAACACGTTGACCATGTCCCTGAAGCCTGCTTATCCACACCTCGATCCTGAACTGCATGAAAGATACAAGGAAGCGGCCTCATAGTTCCAGGTCTCTCAGATGCCGCGTGCCCGTTCTACATCGCTCCCACTGCCTGGCTCCCCGATTCACACCCTACTGCAACCACTAGCTTATTTGTAGAAATTAGACCTGGCCCAATTTCACACCTGAATCTAGCTTTAAAAAACAAAAAGGGGAGGGGTACTTAAAGAACAGGCAACGTAAGCACATGACATCATTAAGGGTACAAAAAGGCTGGCAGTGAAAACCAGGTCCCTTTCCACACCCTCATCCCCGGCCCTCATTCTGTTTGTGAGGCACCTGCTCCTTTCCAGAGCACCCCTCCAAGCACACCCTAGTCACTGACAAGCATTTATCATTAGCTTTCCTACTTGTTCACGTTTACCTAAATTGTGGTTTATGATAGACCAAGTTCTGAGCATTACTTTTCCACTAATAGTATTTGGAATACCCTAATTAAAGATTTGCTTTTTACTTAAAAAAAAAAAGGCTATAAACAGCTCCATTTTATGGGCGATCCTCTACTGAAATAATTCTGAGTTTTTTAAAGATTTGAATTATTTTTACTTTAAATTTCTATTGTGATTTAGGGGATGGTTTAGGAGCCCTGGTGGTGCAGTGGGTGATACAGTGGGCTGCTAACCATACCATCAGCAGTTCGAACCCACCAGGCACTCCGAGGGAGAAAGATGAGACTTTCTATTCCCATGAAGAATGACTGCCTCAGAAAACAAACCCACGGGGGCAGTTCTAGCCTACCCCTTAGGGTCGCTAGGAATTGGGGATTGACTTGATGGCAGTGAGTTTGGGTTTGGAGGTGAAGGTTTACAGTGTTACATTCAATAATTCCTACACATGCTGCTCCAGTTCATCTCTTTCTAACCCTTCAAGGTCCCGTCCTTATTCCACTTCCTCCCAGGGTTCCCCATCTGCATTCCTCCTTCATTCCCGACCCTCTGCCCTCTGTCCCTAAACGATTAGTCTAACATAGGGGGTGAGTGCCCGATGTGAAGGGTCTCGATCTGACCAATAAGCCTGTCCCTTTCATGATTTTGAGTTTTGTTCTACAGTTTTCTGATGTTTTATCCAGGGCCTTCTTAACATGATCCTCTTCAAAGCATTTGACAAAGGTAACCAGGCACCACCTAGTTCTTCTGATCTCAATGATTCCGATTGTTTCAGAATGCTTGCTACTGAAAATAATGTTCCAATAAATAAATGTACCATCCATAATATAGTATGTACTTGTATATATAGTACATATATAAATAAATATATATATATATATATATACACACACACACACACACACAATGAAAATGAACACATTTGTAAGTGTGTTGGTGCCTATGAGTCAATATCCAAATGAGAAATCCCTAGAGCAGAACTGTTGGACCAAAGTCTATGTATCTTTAAAACTTTGATGAGATTTTGA